ATGTAGGGTCAGTAAATAGTAATTATTTAGCCTACTTAGATTCTAGAAGACTGGTCTTAAGCCTTCCTGAAATTTAGAGGTCTCAAACTCCCTCAGCGGAAGGAAGGGCCACAAAACCAGGACACACCTAATATCTTGGGACAGCAGATGAGAGCTATGCAGATAAATTCTCTTCTAGTGTGTCTTTTCCCCAATGCTTTGATAAGCATACACGAACCAGATTTTATCCACTAGGTGGCATTGCAAATCAAAGAATAGCAATATGTGGGTGCATAGTACTTTGTGTCCAAAATTAAGTTGTTAAACAGTTCTAAAAAGGTTTAGTTACAGGTTGGACCTCTCTGGTCTGGCACCCTCAAGACCTGACTGGTCCCAAATGAGGGGATTTCCGGACCAGAGGAGGTCCCTCCTTTATGACCCATGCTAAATTCTGCCCCCTCGGCTAGGGCTCCAGTCCAGCTCTACTGCTGGCCGGAGCTCCCTGGCCACTGCTGGGGCCGGGGCTGCTGCTGGGGCCTGAACTCCCTGGCTGCCAGGGCTGGAGCTGTGCCCACGCTACTGCCCAGCCTCAGGGCCAGAACTCCTCGCTGTGCCACCTGCTCCTTCCATCTCCTGACATGGGGCTCCTGGCTGAGTTGCCAGCCCTCCCACTGTGCTCATGCCTTGCTCCAGACCTCCCTATACCTGGGCTCAGTGGTTCAGGAACGTCTGGGTCCATATGGACCATGAATGTTGCTGCACTAAAGTCCCCATTAAGGGAGGTGCAACTTGTAGTAGTTTTCTCAACCTAGGTGAATGAAGGAAAATACAATATCTAGAAAAAGATTGTGACTTTTTTTCCTGTTGATTTATTGAATAAGGCTTACAATGACAGCCCTTTATCTGATTTCATTTAAAAAAATGTTGCCTGTAGCACAATGCCCTATCAATACAGAAAAATAGCAGTATGTTACGACCAACAACAAAAAACAAATACTAAAACTTTCCACACTACCAAAGCATTTTGTAAAATGACAGCAGATAGCATTTGTGCATGTGCTGCTTTTTATTTGTAGAACATGCTTCATTTCATTTACTTAAAGCCAAAGAGTTTCTTAAGCAAAACTTTTTGGTATAATCTGAAGGACACTTATTACTATTGCTTGAGGAAGTCTGTTCCCTAATCTGCAAAATTCTGCATATTTGTCAAAAAGAACCCAGTATAATCATGCCAGTTTCAATTATTTTTGGTAATTTATTTGAACATAACCACCATTAAGTATTTAACAATAAAGACAACAAAAATATTCAGGGAAGGTTTTTTGACAGATAGAATTTTACCAGGAATACTAATACAGAATTTTGAGTAATTCATTTTAACTATAATACAGAGACCTAGTTCCTGCACACTTTAGAAGTAGTGCAAAGGCTTTGTGGAGTCAGGGTAATGGAGAAGCTGAGGGAGAGAGAAGTAAGTGCTGGAAATGAGTTTGGTAGTAAATTAGAAGTGTTGTTGGGAGAAGTATGGAACAGTTTTTTTGGGGGAGAAATTATTAAAGGGTTAGCCTTCCCCTTGCAGACTCTGGCTGAATCTTAGCCTTTCTTAGTTTATCAGACACATCTGCCTTGTCCCCATGTACCCCTGCACTGCCACTTCCATTCGGTCCCTGCCCAAGTCTCACCCCCACTAGCCCTTCTGAACCCCAGTCTGTGTGACCCCCAGCAGCCTCATGTGCTTTGCTCTGTCAGCCTTTTCGTCCTCCCATCTCCATATCCCCCATAGGACAGTTGCTATAGAAGTAAAGATCACCTTGTTCACCCCCAGTGAGTGTGGGGGGGAGCTGCTCGAGCCCCCGTCGGTTAACCATAACCAGTAAGCAATGCTTACCAGTAAACGATTCACATCCATAGTCACAGCTCAAAGCCTCTGCACCCTGCTCCTGCACCCCTGCTCCAGGTCATAACCCAAATCCTCTTCATCCCTGCCTCTGGTCAAAATCCTGTCCTGCACCCAAATGTCTTCTCATACTTCACAACCTGTCATGCACCCCGATCCTCTGACCCAGGTCACAACTCCTTCCGTCACCCAAATTCCCTTCCAGACCCCACACTAGTGATCCCAGAAAATTGTGCTTGTGCTGACATGCAGGTGAGATTCAGATGCAGATAGCAGAGCACCCACACCTAAGTTTGTTGTTTCTACTGGTGGTGCACATTGCTACATGTCTTGATGTATATAAAAATACATTCCACACATGGATGGGAAAATTCCTCACGTGGATGAAAAAGATTAGAGGGAACATTGCCCCGCACCCTTTCCTGCATCCCAATCTTCTATCCCAAACTCCTTTCTGCACCCCCCTCCAATCTTCTATCCCAAGCTCCATCCCAGAACATGCCCCGCCCATTAAAATAATAAAAAAGTGATCACATACTGAATTTTTGGAGTAGTCCTCCATCAAAAATTATTGCCCATCCCTGCTTAAATCTGCTTTCAATAATCATTCTTTATATAACTGTATATGTTAATTATCAGTGGGAATATTTTTTCATTGGTTTGTGTATGGTGAAATTGACGTTCTTCAATTAAAAATTCAATCATTCCATGCCTAAATATTGGTGATTTGGCATACTCATGACTCTTAAGCATCAAGATAGTAAAAGTTAATGTTAGCATTTGATGTAGAGCTAAGTGTTCTCTGTGTACTATTGGCTTTTCTGCTTCAGCTGTCATGTAGGCGTTGAATAGAGTAGAAGGAAAGGATTGAGCCTTGCAGGACTCCACAAGTGAAGGTTCCAGAAGTGGAGGAATAATTGCTCATCAACCCTTTGAATTCAGTCTGAAATGAAGGAATGGAGGAGTCATCTGAGTGTTTTGCTCATCCCTACTTTGTCTCTGAGATGCAGCATGAGTATTGATGACGAACATGATCAATGACATGAACAGATCCAGCACTGAGTTGGCAGCTGGAGCTCCGTGGGGATGGGAGCTCCTCAGCAGCCACTGGGGAGCTCTGTGAAGATGGGGGAGGACTCTAAAAAGATATAATTATTTGGTCATGGGCATGAACAATTTTTCCCAACTGGGTCCCAAGAAAACCGTGTGTGAAAAACACTGGGTCCCATGTGTGAAAAACAGTGGTCTAAGTAGTAGCTTGATACTTGTTTCACAGTAGTACCCAAAGTGTTCAGTGAGGATCAAGCCCCTGTTTTGTTAAATGCTGTTTAAACCAAAAAATATATAGTCTCCTCCCTTGAGCGTTCAGGATCCTCATCAGAATAAAAGCATGTGATATGTTTGATGAAACTTGATTTAGGAAACAAAAGCTGGAAAATGGCACAAGCAGCACGTGAACCACCACAAATGTTAAGCAATGCACTGAAATGAACTATTATGTACATCTCTCTGAGTTATTGCAGCTTTCCTAGTAGTCCTGTGTGTTTTCTTTATTGCCCAGCTATACTTACAAGATAATATTGGTGTATTTAATCTACAGAAAATAAATATAGCTTGTGGGAGAGAAAGCTTGTTTGTGCTAATTAGATAGGCTGCTATATAATAGAAGTTTATGTTGACACTTTTTTTAAAATTGTGATTTATAATCCATTTCCTGGTAAACAAGAGGACTAAAATATTGGTTCATCTCATGTTTAATTTCTTCCATACTGAGTGAATATGTAATAAAAGGGACACAAAATTGTTTATTACTAACCATTAGGCCATTAATATGGATTTGATCCTAACATTGATTCATTTTTTTTCTCCCCATTCAGTTCATACCTATCCTTTCCTTTGCCACTTCCATTAGTGTCCATTCTAAAGCTTTTTGTGAGTACCACCTCCCAAGAATGTAAAACTTTGACCATTTAAGTAGCTGGACCTTTTCTAGGGTGATGATCTTGTTCCATTTTAATACCTAAACGGTTCTTCATAGATTGATTGACATACTTCTGGAATTTAAAGCATTGTAGAAACACAAGTATTTTATCAAGAGAATTTTTTTTCAGAGATGAAATTTCTTTTGCGCTTACTTAAAAAAACCCCTGAAACCTATTATTCATATCCCTACTTTTGGGTAGGGGCAATCAATTATTTTGTATAGTCAAGGTCCCAACTACAGAGCACAGTGGGCTGAGAGAGGAGATGGAGTGAAGCAAGTTATGGTAAACTTCTGATAATCCGGCACCTTTAGGACCCAGGGGGTGCCGGATTATCAGATATGCCAGACTATCGGAAGGGAGGGCTATAAGCGGGAGTGAGGTGGGGGGGATGCCACCCCAGACCTCTCATAGCCCCCCCTTTCGATAGTCTGGCTCTGCCCCAGGCATCCCCGATTCAGCTGCTGCTGGTCAGTTTCAGCAGCGGCTGAATCGGGGACAGCTGGGGTGCTGCCAGGTTGGTCCCGCAGCCCCGAGGGGCAGCGCTATGGGACCTACCCGACAGCACTGCAGCTGCTCTGCCCCGATTCAGCTGCTGGTCAGTTTTAGCAGCGGCTGAATCGGGGACAGCTGGGGTGCTGCCAGGTTGGTCCCGCAGCCCCGAGGGGCAGCGCTATGGGACCTACCCGACAGCACTGCAGCTGCTCTGCCCCGATTCAGCTGCTGGTCAGTTTTAGCAGCGGCTGAATCGGGGACAGCTGGGGTGCTGCCAGGTTGGTCCCGCAGCCCCGAGGGGCAGCGCTATGGGACCTACCCGACAGCACTGCAGCTGCTCTGCCCCGATTCAGCTGCTGGTCAGTTTTAGCAGCGGCTGAATCGGGGAAGCTGGGGGCAGAGCAGGTCCAATGGTCCAGCTGCCCGGAGCACTTCCGGGTTCCTGATGGTGCTGGACCATCAGATGCCGGACCATCAGAGTTTTACTGTACTAGGTTGCTCAGCTTCTGCTGCTGTGGTGAGTGCAGGGGACCTGACCTCTTCTGCCACCCTGGGCCCTGTGGATCCTGTCCATAGCATGGTTAAGGTAGCTGCCAAGGGGCCTCCCAAAGTACAGAGTCTGGGGCCCTGGGTAATTTCCATTAGCCATGAGTAGTTTGATGTACATTAGTCAGGAAGGACATTCTCAAGACTCCTTCTGCGTAAGTTAATGCGTTGGGGCCATATACCATCAAATAATGGCATGGTGGCTAATGTGGTCAACTCTGGCTGAGTTTTCTGCCTTTGAGATGCTAGTGATTTGTCTCAGTGGCTGGACTGTGAAGTCCAGATGAATAGTCAGAATAATCTTGATGGCTGAATTTTTGCAATTGTGATTGAGGTAGATAATTTTCCTTATTATGATGGTGTACTTCTGTCAGAAATCTTTGTGATCTTGATGAATGGATTTTTTTCACAATGTTGTCACTTGGTGCCTGTGTACTTTATCTGCTGAAATTGCACAGTGATTTCCTCAGCATTTGGGGGGAGGGAAAAGGGGGTCAGTGTAGAGCCAAGGTATCAATGGTAGCAATCACATATTGCACGATTATGCTTTTGATCCTTGTAGTTTAGTGGCTTGCCTTCCAAATTTAGGCTGAAAGATTAAGAATTGTGAAGTTTTTTGCATGCAGACTGGCTTAAGGAGACTGAGAATTGAAAGAATTATTTTAAACTGCATTTTCTAGTTGTTAAAATAGTCTTTCTGGCTTTATTTTTCAGCTGTAGCAGAAGTGAAACTTCGAGATGATCAGTATACTTTGGACCACATGCGTGCCTTTGGCATGTATAATTACCTACACCTTGATTCTTGGTACCAGGACAACGTCTACTATGTTGATCAACTTGGAAGGGTTATGAATTTATCAGTGACTCTGGTAAGCATAAGATTTCTTTAAAAATATGAGGTGTGGGACAACAAACAAAAAATGCAAGCCCAAAAAATAAAGTTGGAGGAACCTAGAAGAAAGGAAAAAACTAAAAGGGAAGTTGAGAGAAATTTCTATGGCCTTTTGTTATACAAGACATTGGACTAGATAGCCACCACTGTCTCCTAACTTTAATGCCTATGAATCTCTGACTTGCAGAGAAAGAGAGAGGTGCAGGAAGTATGTGGTTTCAATACTGTTTCCTCCCAGCCATTCCTTTACAAAAAAGTGTCCTTGTTTATTTTCATCCTGAAAGGAGAAGAGAAGGGTGCCCAGTGACTAGATGAAGTGAAGAAAAGAGTTGGGTACCTTTTTCTAGTTGTCAAAATGGTCCTCCTTAACTCTCCTTGACACATGTTCTTCCTTTAAATTGAAAATGTCTTCACTGTATGGGTGTGTCTAAACTACATGGCTCCGTCGATGGAGCCATATAGATTAGGCTGATCAGCAGAGGGAAATGAATTTATATCGCGGCTTCATTTAAATTTAAATGGCTGCCTGCGCTGAGCCGACAAACAGCTGATCAGCTGTTTGTCAGCTCAGCACGCTAGTCTGGACGCTCCCCTGTTGACATGAAAGCCCTTTATCGACCTCCCCGTTATGCCTCGTAGAATGAAGTTTACTGGGGAGGTCGATAAAGGGCTTTCAGGTCGGCGTGGGAGCGTCCAGACTAGCGTGCTGAGCTGACAAACAGCTGATCAGCTGTTTGTCGGCTCAGCGCAGGCAGCCATTTAAATTAAAATGAAGCCGCGATATAAATTCATTTCCCTCTGCTGATCAGCCTAATCTATATGGCTCCATCGACGGAGCCATGTAATCTAGACGTACCCTATAAGTGTAATGAAAGAGAAGTTGTGAGGGTGGGAGTTAGTGTTGAGAGCACCTCTGGCATGTACAGACCAGAATCTTAATTTGGGTGAAGCAAATGGGTAAAGGACCCATAGTTTTACTCAGTGGAATCTGAGTAAATTAGACTAAACTAGAAAAGATAGCACTTCTGTTGTTTTATATTCACTTTCTCCTGTGGTAGAATCTGCGTTATACTTTGAGGCTGTTTGATTTGGATTCAACAGTTTCCATTATAAGGTTATTCTGTGAGGGAAAGTAGTACTCAGTGGTTTTGGTGTGTTGCACCCAAGGGTACGAGGAGGCATACCTGGGTTGTCGACAACTCCCTTTGATGTCGGCAGGGGAGCGTCCAGACTATCGCGCTGAGCCGACAAACAGCTGATCAGCTGTTTGTCGGCTCAACGCGGCAGCCATGTAAATTTAAATGAAGCGGCGATTATTTAAATCGCCGCTTCATTTTACTCTGTCGGGTAGCCTAATCTACATGCCTCTGTCGCCAGAGGCATGTAGTCTAGACGTACCCTAACAGTGATTGTAATAAACAAGCAGACATTGGTGTTCATGAGGAATATGGTAACAAGTTCCTGGTGATATTAACTTTGTAAATGCCATTCAAGTGTTTTTAGCTTTGGATATGCCTATCTCAGGTGAAGTAAGTTAATGACTCTACAAAAACTACAAGGAGTCCCATGGCACCTTAAAGACTAGTACGTTTAGTTAGGCATAGCTTTTATGGGTAAAAATAACTTCTTCAGATGCATGGAGTGGAAATCACAGATATAGGAAGATTATAGGTAGGTAGGGGTGGGTGTGTGTGTGTGTGTGTGTGTGTAATATAAAATAAAAGCATATTAAAAGAAGGGAGTCACTTATCAAGTATAGGACCAGTGTTAACAAGGCCAACTCAGTGAGAGTGGATATGACTCACTCCCAGCAGTTGATGGGGAGGTGTGAATATCAAGAGAGGAAAAATTATCTCTGCCGCAAGAGAAGTGGTCTAAGTCCTTATTCAGTCCTAATTTGATCATGGTGAATTTACAAATAAATTGCAGGTCTGCTGTTTCTCTTTGTAGTCTTATTTTGAAGTGTTTTTTTTTTTTTTTTTTTTTTTTTTTTTTTAATAAAAGGATGGCTACTTTAACTTCGCTGGACACTCTAAAAGTGTTCTACTGGTTTTTGTATGTTATCTTTCTTGATACCTGATTTATGTCCATTTATTCTCTGGTGCAGAGAGTGTTCAGTTTGGCCAAAATACATGCTGGGGTTTGTTGCAGGATTAGGTTCCTGGGTTAGTGTTTCTGTGATGTGGTTTCATTTCAGTGATTCAGTGTGGTTTCCTTCTCCTCCCTGTCACACTTCATTCCTATCCACAAGTTAGGAAAAGATTATGGGCCATTTTCAGAGGCCAGTTCAGGATGTCGCAATCAATTCAAGTGTCCACAGTAGCTCCCAAGTCCTGTATCCAGAGCGCAACAAGATCTGTGCTTCTTGTTGAGGTGGTTTATCTAGAGTGCAGCAACTGCAGAATTAGTGTGCACTAAGTGACTTGCAATATAGATACCTCAGGAGTTACAGCGTTGGGAGCTGATTTAGTGTGCAGTAACTTTCCAGTGTAGTTTGGCTTGAGAGAAGTTAGAAAAGAGACCAGTCCTTATTTATTTACTCTGAGATTTTAGGACATGGGAGAAGGTATGTGTAATCACTTAAAGATAATTAAAATTATCTGTAGATGTTTAAAATCAGTGGTGATTACATGCATTTTCCAATTTACCTTGACTGAAAGCAAGTTGAGGTTGAAGGGTGGCATTGTTAGAGATGAAAATGGAGGGTAATTCTCAGGTGATTTAAAAAAGGGATGAAGAAGGAGATGCTCTGACCAGAAGATTATCCAGATACCCTTTTTCATTTGCCTTCTTTCAGATGGCTTAGACAGCTTGTATATTGCTTTGTCATCCTCGCCTTTAGATATACAGTCTTCCATATAGCTGCTTTCAGCACTACACATTTTTTCATAACATTATGAAACACTACAGAGAACTCTACAGAACTTGGTTTAACCCTGCTGTCTTGAATTTAAGCAATTACACTTTAGTAGCAGTAATAAGAGAGCTCACTCTTTTCAAGACTGAGAATGAGAGTCTCCATAGCTATTCTGATACATTTCAGGAATTGGACTGTAAAAACAAATCTTTGGGCTGAAAGAAACAACCACTGAGATAAGTGGGTCTGCAGTGGCAATTCATGGTTTAAGTGGGAGCCAGGGTTACTCTTTCAGTTTAGGACTTGGAACTGGAGCATTCAAGTGTGTGGATGGTTTGAAGCTTCTCTCTTCCTTGAGTTGAAAGTGCCCCAAAGTTACTGGGCATGATATCCCTCCATGGGAAGGGTGACACACTATACGTTGTTTTCCCTTCATAAGGAGAGGCTATAGAAGGAGTTGAATCTTTCCTAGAAATACAGGAACGTTACTGGTGTGTTTTGGAGGTTGCCAAATCATAGCGGAGAGTCAGTATTCCCAGCAGAAATGCTTGAGAGAGAGAAACCTGTCCAAGGGAAGTCTTTGTGAAAAGTGGGCTTGCAACAGGGGCGGTTATTTGTAGTTTTACTATACAACAGAGCTGAGACAGAATCCATAAATCCTTTCTATCACACTGAAGTTTAACTTTCCTTTGTTAAATATAGTGAAATACTCTATTCATCTATAATATTTAAGTGTTTAATCAAGAGCATAATTGACCTACTTTATAAGAGACAGTAGTTGGCATATGTCACATGCAGTTAATTGAAATCAAATGGATATTCTTTCATAGTACAATGCATTCTACAGAAATCCCTTGGCAACCATTATGGAAATATCACAAAGACTCATTAATATCCTCCCATGGGTTTTTTGTTCTACTGAAGTCTGTGATTACTTGTCATATCCTCATATTGCAAGAAGAGAAATCACGTTTCACAACTGTTTTATTTGAGATGGAGAGACACCTTTTTAAAAGATATCAAAAGGTTATTCAGTAAGATCAGTCATGTGAGCATGCTTCACCACTCAGACAGACGTACATTTGATAGAGATATGATATAGCTTCCAGTCAGAGATACTTATTGATATCATGTAGTTAAATACGGTCACCATTGATGTTTGTGGTAATATCTGTCAAAATAAAAAAATGAAATAAAGAAATAATAGATTCTAAGTTACAAATTAAATTTTCAGTGGAATAGGGCTTGTGTCCTTCCATCATTATTTATTAGATAAAAGAAGCAAGTAAATACCTTCTGTACTGTGAAGATGAACTAGGGATGTAAGCAAGCAGTTAACTAACTGACAAGCCTAAGCTTATCGGTTAGTCAAGTCGACTACTCCCATTGCCTCTGTATCAGAGGCAGCAAAGGGTGGGGGGGAAGCAGGAGCCAGTGGTGCAGTGAGCCAGCTTAAAAGCCAGTTCCTCCTAGCACTGGCTTAGCGATGCTGCTTGTTCCCCACCTCTGCACTGCTGCTTCTATCAGAGGCACCAGCATTGGGGGAGAGGGGACGGGACGGGGCGGGGTATGAGAGGCTGCTCTGCAGAAGTCTCTTCCTGTGGACAGTCCAGGCCACTACCATAGCAACCTGGTCTGTTTGTGGGCAGAGGCTGCTGTGGCGGCAGGCTGTTTCATCCAGGCAGGCAGCCCAACTCATGCTGGGTCCACGCAGTCCCACTGCAGCTCTGCAATTTAGAATGCAGTGGGGTTTGGTCCTGGACCCAGCACAGGTCAAAAATAGAGGTAGGCTGCCTATCAACTAGTCAATTAGTTGATAAAAAGTCTATCAAGTCTTCAGTTAGTAAATATCCTCATTTTAACATCCCTAGGGTGGACAAGGTGATATTTACTTCCATAGTAACTTTCCTTTGAGGATCACAACGTACTTTACATAGATTAGCAAATGTCCAAGCACACCTTTGATATAAGTGACTATTATAACTAGCTTACCAAAGATCCTTAAAGTCAGTTTGTGTGTTACAAAAGAAAACTACAAATGTCGCTGCTTTTGTTCTTGGGACAGTTTCAGTCTAGGCTTGCTCACCAATGCCTGTATGTTGGACTGGATTGAAGTTTTA